TCAGACCCCTGTCAAATCTCTGCTCAAGTTGTATTATAGTGCTGTCTTCTATGCAAAGCATTGAACTTTTCTCAGTAGGAATAAATGACATAAAGAAATGTGGTACTTCCTGGAATTAGAGGTCAGTCCCGACCCTGTTGACCACATCTATCAGGAATTAAGCTCCTGGTTTCTTCTTTCCCTTAATTACTCTAGAACAACTTCCTCCAACCTGTGGCCCTCCAGGTATGTCATGCTAGAACTCCCATCACCCCTAGCCAGCATAACCATGGGAATTGTAGTCTAACAGCAGCTGAACAGCCATAGACTGCTAGCATGCTGAGATACCCACATCACTGTCATGCTTATGATGTGATGGTAAGAAAATCTGCTTTTCACAGGAGACCATTCATCTCTCATTTTCATTTTCAAGGTCACACATTACAAATAATCTCCCCCAATTGAATTTACCTTGCAGAGCCCCTCACTTTAAATCATGTTGATAAAACCAGGCTATGCTTCCTGACACCAAGCAGTTCCTGCTAAAGGGGCAATGGCTGGCTTTGAAATTATGCATGCTCGATGTTCAATTCATTGCGTGTGTGGGAACAGTGTGTCCAATTGAGCCTTCAATATGTTCATTGGAAACTTTCACTTTGAAACCCAGGTATGTTTTTTTTAATTTTTTGAGACAAAATGTAAGTATTCTCAAGAGTACCTAATGCTCATCTCATTTCATAATCATGATGCTGTCAGACCAAGACTTTCGTGAGCAGGGCCAGGGTCCAATTCAGCAGAATGTGCATGAGGTCCCCCAAAGCAGCCAGGGTACCCTAGGATGTGTTAAAGTGAGTGAAATAACACCTATTACCTGTAACGAGGAGAGGGAGGTAGGACCCTTAAAGGCAGATTCTAAATTACCACACTGCATCACTGAGTCCTAAACACATCCAGTTGGAAGTCAGCCTCATAGATTTCAGTTGAACATGTAGATTTCAGTCGAATGTACCTCCATGTAAGCATGCTTACAACTTTAAACATGAGAATTACTTTGTTAGCTCAGGCCAAGGATCTGTCTAGCCCAGAACTCTGTTTTCAGACAACACCATACAATGGTTAGCTCCCAGACACACCATCATTTAGCAGCCCTCTGCTGTCTGCTCCCAGCATCCAGAGATGTAGCACTTCTGATAACAGAGGCTCCATTGGGATGGTTGGGGCTAAAACTAATGATGTCTATCTTCCATAAATTTCCCCACTCCCTTTGACACTCTGGATAAGGTAGGATCTCTACCACCCATTACAGTGGCGAACTCTGTTGCTTAAGCATGCCTTATGTGAAGTCTTTTCATTTGCCTGATCTCACAGGCCACCCCGCACAACCACAATCTGGAGCCTGCCTGTGTTGAGAGAAACAGAAAAGGTGATGGAGCCATTTACTTAATGCAATGGCCCATATCCATGTAGTATTAGCATACCTATATGGGGCATAGGGCAGGAGACACACTCCACTGGCTTAATGATGCTACAGAACAGGGGTGGGGAACCACAGACCTGGGGACCACATCTGGCTCCCACGGGGATGTAGTCTGGTCCTTCAGGTTTCCCAGATGACTACGCCCTTTCTTGCAGCCCCACTCCCTTCCCCCCCCCACCAATGGCTTGGTGCTCCCCTCACCCCCACCTCTCGCATGCAAACAATTCTAAGAGTTTGAAAAAGGTACAATACTGGCAGTGAGGCATTTAAGTGAAACTATGCTAGCTTCTCCCTGTCCTTTTTTCTGTATTTTTGGCCTCTACCATTTTTTTCCAGTGTACCCACTGAAGTAGGCTGATGGGCTGAGAGAGACCACCTACCCCTGCTATAGGAATATGGACTAGCACAGTTGACAATTATAGACAAACACTGTAGACTTGGATGCTTGCACAGATGTTTCATGGCGGTCAATATTATGAACAACTTTGGCATCCATTTCAAATGGAGCATAAAGGCCACTGAGTCCACAGAAATATTACTGACAAGCAAAACTCATTACTTAGAATTACATGTCAGCAATCGGAAAGCCTTCTTCATTTTTGATAGAATAGGACAGGGGGACTTGATAGAATTTGCGGAAAAATAGGTATGTGTTCATCTCACTTCAATGGTGCTAAAGGTTGCATTTATTTCTTAACCAGGAACTTGAAGATCTTGGTAATATATTTTATTGTTGTTTGCGCTCATATAGCCATGCTGAAAAGCTAAGCCACGTTGTTACTTTCAAGAGACAGGGCATTGTATTTGTTTTGAAGAAAGAAGCCAGGTTTATTTGCTGAACCTGATGCTGTTCGGTAATCAATCTTGTTGAGTTTGATGTGTTTGTCGTTTAAAGAGACTGTACATTTGTTCAGATTGTTAAAGTTGAAAGACTGTTTGTATTGCTGGGGTGGGGTGGGGTGGGGAAGATTCACTCAGCTTTCCAGGTTTGCATTACTGTATCTTCTTCTAAACATTAAAAAACCCTATAGAACACCAAGTTTCAGTCACTGAGAAGGAAAACCCTGACTCACCTGCCATGAGTTTATTTGCCATCTCTAAGAGTCTATAGGTGTCTAATGTGGTTCTTAGAGACAGTCTTGGAAGCCCCCTACTCCAAATCCCACCAAGTCCTAGTCTTGGGTAACATAAAGCCAGCTGTCACACATCTGTTAGGGAAACAGTGTTTGGGGAGACTGGCAACAGTGAAGAAGAACCAGTCACCCAGGAAGCACTGTGCTACACATGTCCTGTCCCTACAGCATTTTTCTGACTAGATTTCGGAGGTTCCTTGGGCACAAAACCCTCCGTGGATGCACTCCATCCATGAATCCACCTTCCTGTTGCCATTGTCCTTAGCTGCTGTTCTCCTTGTCCTCGCCCGTCATTGCTGCTGCTACTTCTTCTAAGCAAGAAGGCCATGGGCATATCTTATACTATACAGGCCTATTCAAGGACTCTTTTCCCAACAGGGGTAAGCACAACCTGAAGTTGGAGAAAGAAAGATGCTCAGTGGAAACATGGCAGGAGAAATTGCTCCACTGAACTAGTTTTCTGCTTTAAGTAATAGCTTGATTTATTTTTCTTGCCTACCTTTATATGTGGCCCTTCCTGCAAATAAGTGGCTGCTTTTGTAATTTTTTTAATGGCTTGAAAAGAAGCACTGTAGTTCCATCTTTAGAGCAAGACCGACAGTCTGGTGGGTTTCCTTGAACTATGCTCACATTCTGTGATCAAGGGCAAGGAGTGCTTCTTTAAGTCTGGGCAGGCAGTGGCTGCTTATTACAAATTAAGCATCTGGGGGTTTTAAGTTGGAGAGAGGTAGAAGGAAGCACATTCTTTTCACGTGATACTGGCATTGAATGAAGACTTCCACTGTAGGGAATAGGGAGGCCATTGATAGGCTGCATCAACTCCCACCTCTGTGGATAAGCTTTTTGAACTCTTGACATTTCCATGGGGAGAAACAGGGAACCAAACAATTGATGCAGTGTTCAAAACCAGCTCTGGTTCTCGGATGCCCTTTCCCCAGGCCAGTGGTTCCCACTTTTTGCTAGCAAGACCAAATGCCTTGAAAATAGGATCTAGGAGAAAGACATATAGAAAGCTGCTCTAGCAGTGTAGAAATAAGGACTCTCTTCAGAGAGCCTTTTCCCCACCCCAAACCATTTCTCCAAAAGGCAAAATGCAACTTGGATAGCAGAGCTGGAAGAACCACCAAAAATGCCAAAATTTCAGTAGCAGCAGTATCTTTGGGGCCACAGGGGCATAATCCATTGTAAGACATGCAAGAAGCTCCCCTTAAAACACACAGGTTCTTTGGCCAATCTCTGAATTTACCACCCATCTTTAGCCACAGAACAGCTGGAGTAAGACAAAGATGGCACTATATATCCCATTTTCATGAGAAGATTGAAGACTGACTTATATTCTACAAACTGAATTAAGGACTATATGAGGGAATGAGTGTGCAGCAGGTCACAGCAGGCTCAAAGGAAGCTGCTTTATATGAACTTTGGTCCAAATATCCTAGTATTATCCACACTAACTGGCAGCAGCTGTCCAAGATGTTAAGCAGGAATTTTTCCAGCACTACTTAGTGAGGCCAGAGAGTGCATTTGGGACCTTCTGAATGCAAAACAAGTGTCCTACAACTAAGCTAAAGCTATCAGGAAGCTCCTAGTCCCAGAACTCCAGAACACTTCATCTTCATCCACATTACTGTTTTTGCAGTTCAGAGTTTTTCAAAACAAAAGCTTTGTAGATTTGGGAATGGGCCTCAGCTTCATAGTCACATGGATCAAAAGGAAATGTTCCTCAAGAATCTAACCATTTTGCTGCTCCATAGTTCACAAATGTCTAGATCTTAACATACACCTTTCTTATTTACTCTAAAGCAAACATGGGGTATCAATCTGCAGCAAGACCCAAGCATGGTGGAAGGAGGCTTCGACCCTTTGCCCCCTGCCCCCATCTGGGCCTCTCATGCCTACAATTTTCATAGCTGAACAATGATCTATATGGACCCCTGACTCCCCCCCACTCCATTCAATTACCCCCACTTCTCTCCAGGTCATTTCAGTTTCCTCAAGACATCCATCCATGACTTTCTTCCTTTACCAGGTGGTTAGGACCACTCCAAGGTGAAGCAGAGGCCACTCCACCATCTTTACTTCCTAAGAGCAACTCTGGAGCTTCATGAGGCTGAGGGACATCCAAGAAATAAACATGGTGAGCATCTGAAGCCAGTGTTTCATTTTGAAACACTTCTGAAGCCACTTCTGAAGCCAGTGTTTCATTTTGAAACACTTCTGGAGCACCCATTTGTTAAAATTTAACAGAAAATACCACAGATTATGTGTGGAAACTTCAAATAGAAGTCAAATTTAAATTTAGCACTTCACTAAACAATGGTTCTTCCTCTTAATTGCCTGAAAACACTGATCTGATGGAAACTACAAGAGATGAAAACTTCCCTTCTGCCCACAAACAGATACAGACAGACTTCAGATATTCAAAAATATTTATTGCCGAACTTGCATAGCATTTAGCCCCAATTGCAATGATTATAGAGGAACAGATGCATCACAGTATAAATAGCTCAAAGGGCTCGCATCACACTGCCCCTTAATGCCTTGAAGTTTCATCCAGGTTCACAAAGGTGGCAACAGTTACGTGAGGTAGAACTAAAATTGGTACCCTGGGTTGAATCCAGTTCCTCTGTCTTCATTCAGTTCACAGCAATGTTGCCCATATCCAGTGAGGAAAATCTGTAGAGTTATCTCAGAATAATTTGCTGCCATCCTTCTTTGCTGAGTGTTACAGTAAGTGCTTACTTTCTCATATTCCTTCCCATTGCTAATACAAGGAATAGAAAGTTGAACATGTTCCTTAGGAAGGATCTTGGGTGTCTTTCCATACAAGAGATGGGCAGCTGCAAGAAGTACAGTAAGAAGGGTTGTCTTGAACCACCAAAACAAGTGAACGTTTGGTCTTTCATTACATAGAGAACTAAGCCACAGGCTAAAAGAAACCACAGTATCATAAAGCAACACATTATGCGAGAGACATCTCACTAATTAGATTTTTTTACTGTCAGCACTGCAGCTCTCATTCACTGCCATATCTTAAATAACACACAAGTGCAATCCATGGGGAGGGTGGTTAAATGCTGCTACTTTCAAGACCAGAGGGAAGCATTCAGGAGCTAGGAGAGGCTCAGTGGTGCTAGGTTTCCTCCTCTGAAGCACATGGTTCCTGCTGACATCTACTATGTAAGCCATCAGGCAAAGGGGGATGCAGAGGGGGCACAAGTAGAAGCATTAATATTCAGTCAAACTACCATTAACTTTCTTGCCAATTTTAAGCACAGAAGACATAATTGAGATGTTTAGGAACCTCATAAAAGCATCTAGTTTCAAGAAAATGCACTCAGTCATATGGCATAAATAAGTTTGCCAGATCCTGGGTCAAGAAACCTTGTCCATACTTGCCCTGGTAAATGAGGGAGAATCACAGCTCTAGATGTCCCTAGATGCAAAGACTTTCTGAAGGCCCCAGTATTTCACATAATGGGAAAAAATACAGTGAGATGTCCTTGCCACCTTCTCTATCATTCTACTGGATTCTTTGGGGATGAGGCTGGTACTGCTTGTCAGACAAAGTCTTCAAAGTCAACTGAAGGCAATGGGGTTCTCCAGTAGCTGAATTGGCTGAACTCTGGGCAAACCAAAGAAACACTCACATCCTCTCCAACAGGTGGAAAGAGGAATTCTACCATGTCACCCAGTCGATCATATCTAGAAGAAACAGGATATAGAAGCTTCAATACATCATAGAAACATAGAAACAGAGCAAGTCAGAAGGGACCTACCGGGCCATCTAGTCTGACCCCCGGAACCAGCCAGCTCTGCTCACGACATGCCCAGCATGTGCATGTCCAGCCTATCTTTGAACACCCTCACTGATGGGACCTCAACGACCTCTCGTGGAAGCCCATTCCACACCCTTGGGGTCATAACTGTCAGGAAGTGCTTCCTGGCATCTAAATGGAACCTTGGTTCCCTGAGCTTTGCTCCGTTGGATCACGTCCTGCCTTCCTCTGCAGGGGAGAACAGGTCTCTACCCATCTCCATGTGACATCCCCTCACATACCTGTATGTCGCCAACATATCCCCTCTGAGTCTCCTCTTCTCCAGGCTGAAGAGACCCAGTTCCCTCAGTCTCGCCTCATACCCCATCCCCTGCAAACCGGCCACCAACCTTGTGGCCCTGTACTGATTCTAACCTGGCTATATCCTTTCTGTAATGAGGGGCCCAAAACTGAGCACAATACTCCAGTTGCAGGCACACCAGAGTCATATAGAGTGGTAGTAATACCTCTCTCGATCTAGAAGCCACACTTCTGGCTATGCAACCAAGGGTGGCGATTCCCTGTTGACCACCGCATCACACTGCTGACTCATGTTTAACCCTGCAGTCAACCAGTACCCGAGGTCCCTTTCACAAGTGCTGTTCTCCATCATCTCTTCTCTTGCACTCTCATCCATCCTTGAATTGTACTCAGGTCCAAATCAGACATAACTTTAAATGTGCACCTAGCAGCAGTGACTTTTTATTTATGTACTTTTACTAGAGAGTATGTGTCAGGATCCCAATTTGGATGAGGTCCCTAGCACGATGGAAGGGGAGCTTTTAAGGCCCAACTTTCTGCAGCTCCAATTATTAGCAATAGTAATAGGAATTATGAGTAATAATAATAGTAAAAGATGATGACATAGCTTTTAGACCCATATTCAAAATAACATTCATTTGGGCCTCAAGGCAGAAATAGGATTTCCCCCACTCAGCCCTGTGTATTAAAAGACTAGAAATCATGCTACCGGCTGTGAAACAAAGGTTGCATAATGGGGGAACAGACAAAGGTGCTGCATGAGATAATATGCAATCTCATCCACTCCTGCCACCTTAAGGAACGCTCACCATATGATGCAGTGACATCATGCTGCAAGTTTTCAAGTCCACCTGCATCAGTGCTAACTCCAGGTTAAGTTGGATACCCTCAATAAGCCCCCTCCCTCAGTGACTCTACCTTCTCACTGTGCCATGGGCACCAGCTGTTCCTGCACCTTTCCCTCTTTTTCATCATTGGCGCTGCTTGCTTGTTTGACAAGCAGAGAGCCAGTGAGCAATAGGCAGTGGAATGCACTGCCCATTCCTACTCACTACCAACATTGTCTGCCTACAGCAAGGAGCAGGTGAACATGTAGGTCACCTGTAGCAGTAGGAACAAGTAGGTTCAGGAGGATCAGCACGTCCAGGAGATTCTTGCCAGTGGACCCCTGCTGGGTATTAGGCTAGGCATGCAGAGATCAGACTGGAATATGTCTCTCTTGTGCTTGCTGGATCACTTTCCTAAGCTTGGACCTGGCTAGAAAGCGAGCTGAGCTGAGATTAACTTCTCAAACCCTTGGAAACACGTGTGACTTTTCTGGACCAAGTACACATTCTGTGCATATACTATGCAAAGTCTGCTGTGTGCAAAAGCAGAAGCCCATTTGAACTCACTTCCTGCCAGTTCCCATGCAAGTCCTTGGTGCAAGGCTGATTTAAGGCAGAGACAAAGTGAGCCAGAGTTTGAGGAATCATGTTTAGGAAATCTGATGGATTCCCTCCCTCAGACTGGGTTCCTCACACATCTCTAGTTTGGGCCTTCAGGAGCTGCCTGGCCATGCTTGCCTCCTTCTGATACAGCCCTACTCTGCTCATCAGTGAAATGAGAAAACTCATAAAACAAGTAGTATTCTTAAGGGAAGAGATTCCATTTGCTTTCTACAGACCATGGATTACTTTACCAAAGACACTGGACTGGTGATTTTTGAACTGCACTAAGCTGCCATCAACACACAAATTGCTGTGCGAGCTATGAGAGAAATGCTGCTCTAGGCTCAACTTCAAGCTTACGTGGACTTCTGGACTTTTATGACTTCCTGGATCAGCTCCCCCTTGGGGTTCACAGTGAATATCCGGGATTCCGGAAGCTCCACTTTCTTGTAGGCATAAATGTCCTGCATGAGAGGCAACAGAATACCAGAAAGATCAAGACAATGCAGGGATTTCGCAAGAGGAAGGCTCTGCCCCCTCCACAAGCATCCTGTGCTAGGTGGCTTTCACTCACATTTGCTCTGTTCCCGAAGGCAGCATGGAAGGGCTGCCTGTCAGCACCAAAGAGATTCCGGATGTCTGTTAGACATGCAATTTTGAATACCTCTGGCTTCTTCTCAATCACTTCCCTGTAATGCAGCAGATAGAAATTTTACTGATGCCACAGTGTGGCTTGTGTTCCCCCACACCACCGGCTAAGTAGGCAAGGATTTTAAAGGGGAAAATGTTTTGCTGTTGTTTTTAACTTGATTTCCGTAATACCCAATAGCCAAAGCTCTCTGGCCAGCTTACAACAATACATAAAATACAATAAAAATACAATATAAAATACAGGTGACAATAAAGACTGAGACACTGCAGTACAAGATTTAAAAGCCAAATTTAAACCTAAATTTAAAAAGCTGCATTACTTAACACCAATTAAAACATAAGACTTGATAAGCAGTTGACGTAACACCCTAATATAATAGTAAAGCTAATTAAATACCTCCAATATTGTTATAAGGATTTAATTGTTTAAATCCAATTGTTTAAAGATATAAATTGTTATAGCAATTTAATCCAATTGTTAAAATAATCTCTATCAGTCGTGGGCATAGAACCATTGGCCTAAAGGCTTAATCTAGCACACCAACCAGCCAGTCCAAACAGCGAGCTTTCTAGAGGCCAAAATAGAATGCAGACAATGGGAGGCTTGGCCAACCAACTCGGCAATCCTGCCACCATCCCTCTCCTGTTCTCCGAAATGGCTACTATTAGTTCTCATGGAAACAGTTAAAGTGCTGCACTTCAGGACACTGAGAGCAAAACATGGGTTACTTTAAGGCAGCCTGTTTTACAGACCTTGCAGGCCAATGTTCAAAATTACAGTTTTTGTCCTTTTGAAATGCTTCCCTTTGTGTGCGCATTTCCCATACATGATGTGAAAGGAAAGCCTGCAGAATGGACTCCAGCAGTGAAAACCATTCAACTATGCAAAACTAAACAGATCTCCCTTGTTATTCTTTCCAGCCAAACATGCTAAACTGACTTCCTGTCCTTCATGATGCTAAAGAAAATGAAGGAAATCAAAACGGGTGAAACAAGCACTGCTTGATAGTTGTAGAAACCAAAAGCAACCAAGTGGCATGGAAAAAAAACATACCTATGAAAGGCTGAAAAGAGGCTGCTAGGAGCCAGTAGGATGGGACCTTTTGGGAGCACCCAGCCCTGGTCATTGACACAGTCTAGATATCCTTTGGTGATGTGTGCCATGCCAATGGCTCTGGCGGAACAGTAGAGAAACTTGTACCCATTCCTCGGAAGAAGGAGAACCAAAGTAAGTAAATGCTCACTTAACATCCTGCCACTGTTTTCCCCTCCACTTGTAATGGGGCAATTGCATTTACTCACATCCAACACAAACTACCAGCACTCTGTGAAATAGTAACCATTCAAGATTTGGTGTAGGACAAAGCAATGGTTTCAGAATGTTGGAATATTTTATCTACAGTCAAGTACATAAGCCTTGCATAGCTATTGTGCCCCTGCTCTGCCGATTCTTTGGTGTTTCCTTTTCTCCCCAGCTTAGGTCTGCTGCCTCTTTCACTAAAGGTTCCCAGCCAATCAGGGATCACACAAGTGCAAGGGGATCACAATATAAAGTCAGAAATCAAATTTAACTTTATATGTCAATGTCACTGCTGGCAAATGAAGCTAAATTACCCTGAGAGCTTCCTGCATTGATCACAGATATGAGTTTAGAAATATTAGTCTACTCAGGAGAATAGTTGGACATTTTCATTGCTAAAAAAGGGAGCAAATGATGATGCTGATAGAAATAGTTCTGATAACTTGGCCCTACTTATTACTAGGAATGAATAACGATCAGTTTCAGTTGTCCCAGTTCTCATTTCTTCAACCTTAAGTAAATTTTGTCTCTTTCTGTTTCCATTTTTAAGGGTCACATAAAATTCCATATTTCTCCCAATATATGTATTTGCAAGCAATGCTTTCCTAATGTGTGTATATGTAATTTTCACTAATGTATGTATTTTTATTCACACTTTCCCATCATATGCATTTCATTACCACAGAGTACGGAGCATCTGAGCACAGAGAATTTGGGTTCATCGTTGACTTCTCAATGGAGGCTCACCTCAAATCAATGTAGAGTCCCTAATGAAAGCTGGACATTAGGAAAGTTCCAGATAGCACTAATGCATTGTTAGGAGCTAGAGAACATATTGTCGTCCAGACGTCATTGGACAGCAACTCCCAGCAGTTTTAATCAGCATGGTCAATTGTGATGGATGAAGAGAGTTCCAGTAACATCTGAAAGGCCCGCCATACAAAGGTGTACATTGAACATGGGGCCTTCAGCAGACAAGGCTCTCCCACTGAACTATGCTGCCTCACTAGAACAGCATGTAGGCACTGTTTAAGGAGCCACAATGAAAAATACATAACTAAACGAGTTATGTCAAGTGAAAAACATTAGTTAACCTAGACAAGTGTCTTTGCTTTAGGAAAAAGAGTAAAAACACATTTCATTAACAGGAATTAAAATGAAAACAACAACCATAGTTTGCTTCTCTGTAATTCAAAGGTTTGGACAAGCTCAGCTGTTTTAGAACATATTAGAATAAGAAGGCACACACTGCCCTCTAGTGATGAATTCAAGAATTTCAGAGTATTCGAAAGAGCAGAGCCATTTAAAGGACTGTAGCAAGTTACCCACAACCCCCCTGAATATATCTAGTACCCACAGGTGAATTTTGTGGAAGAGCCTAACGATGCCTTGGTGGGTCCAGTCTTTTCCCAGGTGTGGCAAGATGTGGCCTAGGGCATCTGACCTGATGGGAAGAAGCGGGATTAGAAACACATGGGTGTACAGCAGAACCCAAAGATAACCTCTTTGCAGTGCATCTCAAGCCACATTAGTTGTATGATGAAGAAATTGTGATCACTTTACATTCATAATGGTCATCTATACCAAAAATATTGCAGTATAGCCTCTTTTCTAACAGGAGTGCTTCTGTTCAGGAGTCTGCCGGCTATACTTTCTATGATGTTATAAACTGTAAGGAGCACAACCAGGCCTATTTATTCTCCTGCCTCCCCTCCTAATTTCCAGTTTTTCCTTTCCAGTTGACAGTGATCATTCCACTTCTGGTGGAAGCCAGCAAATAAGCCCCCTTGGATATCCTTGAGTTTTGGTTTAACTTTTGCAGATTCCCAAAGTTCTCTGGAGCATGCTAATACCTCTCTCTCATTTTCCAATAGGCCTATTGGAAACAGGTACCAAGTGTCCTACAAATTGGTACAAAGTTACCTAGCTCTGTATCAGGGGAAGCAATGTCAAAGGCCACTCACCTGGTGATGGTCCCATCAATGTCAGAGATCACAACCTTGTCATACCAGTCCCACAGGTAAATGGTGGCTTCACAGCGGCATGTGCCCTGGTACTGGGTGGTCACACTGAATACTATCTCATTGGGCCCATCCCTCAGATTCAGGCTTTTCTAAAGCCAAGAGAGGATTTTAAAAACAAGCACACAACAAAACCCAACTTCGGTTCATCATCACATTTGCTGGGTTTATTATTCAACACTGATCCAGCTAAATCTTGTGTTTACTTAGATATGTTCCACAAAATTCAGTGGCAATTATCCTCAGGAAAATGTGACTGCGATGATCCATGCATCCATTAATGCATTCCAGTAACCATGATTTTAAAGAGCAATCCTATTTCTCCATTCAAATTCTGATTATCTCAGTTTTTTTGCATAACCTCCAATTCTTCTTTACTTGAAAAGGTATCAAAATGATGTGGGAGTAAAATCCATCCGAAGCTAAGCCTTTAAAATTATATCAGTGTCAAAGAGTTAGGATGATGCTTAGATCTCTCCTTCTGAAATCAAGGTGATTTAAAAGGGCTTAACTTTGGATGGATTGTTTTGTGCCCCTGCTGTGATATTTCTATCACAGAACAGAGACTGAACAAAATTGTGTGAATTTTTATTAAGCCCTTTAAATGTTTTTACCCTACAATTTCATAATATCTCACCAGTGGCTATGCTGAGTACAGCTGATGGGACTTGTAGATCAGAACATGTGGAAGGATATAAATTCACACAAATTGGGATGTTATCGAATCTGCAGAGTTTGCAGTGGATGTGCTTTCCCCCAAGTCTTGTGTGTTTTGCAGACGTGCAGTTTTTTAAAGTCTTCTGGGGAAGACTTGCATTTACTTTGCATTATGTAATGCAAACCAGCACGAATTGAAATTTAGTGCTCGTACAATGAAATTCTGGAAATAAACAATTGATTTTTTCAATGAGCGGGTGACAGTAAGAAAGATACCTGCCAACCCATGAAACATAAAATAATTTTAACAGCATTCCTCCCAGTTTGGCTTAAAGGGAAAAGTGCATCCACTTGTACTTTGCAAATCCCAGCATCATGATAGAATAACGAGTAACTGAGGAGTCTGAAAATGCTCATCCTACAAAACTTCATTTCCTCATTGTGTCCTAAAAACTGCCAAGCCAGACCTGACCCTTCTTCCTTTTCTAAGATCAAAGTCTGTGATTGCCTGCAACACCATGCCAAACTACTGTTACTATAGAGAACCAACCAAGGTTTGCAAGAAGGCAAGTCTACTTGAAGACCCATCTTCCTAAACAGAAGATTTATCCACTGCACCTTCAAATTAAGACAAACTGGAGTGATACATACAATTTGCTCTGAAGAGAGTCTTAGAGATTTCTTGTAGATTGGAAGAAACTTCTGTGTGAGGGCATCTGCTACAGGACTGTTCCCTTGGCTTGAGGATACAGATTCATCACTGGAAGAGGCATCTTCTCTTCTGCAGCATACAGGAGCAGAAGGAGAAATCAGGGTAAAAATTGGGTAAGTATTGGGAGAACTGGCCAAATCGCAGCTGTGTAGCAATATCTATACACTACTTAGGGAAAAGGAGATGTAGCCTACATATTGCCGAGGAATCTGATAGATCCAGACCTCATCATCTGAGCTAGCCTTCCCCAACCTGACACTTCCAGACGTTCTGGACAACACCCACCAACACCGCCTGGCTTGGCCAATTGTCAGGGATAATGGAAGTTACATTACACATCTGGAGGGCACCAGATTGGGAAAGGCAAATGACAAGGAGGTACAGCCTTGTCCAGAAGTAGGGCATTGTCCCCTGAACTCTAATGTCCCAAAGGCTGAGATGCAATATACAGCATGGCTCTGGGTCTTGCAAAAAGAAATGCTCTTGAAGAAGGGAGGAAAGAGGACACAAGTATTAATCAGACCATCATCAGGCCATTTGCCATAAATAGGTTAATATGATTACCCACCCACTTCATGCTTCCAAAGGATCTACAAGGGGTTTATAGGGCTGCAAGGTAGGCCAGCCCCACCTCCACTGGTGCAAATGTCTCCTGCCATCCACATGCCCAGACAGCGTGGGAAAAGATTCTGCAGGCATATTAATAAAGACTCAGAGTTCCCCAACACAAGACAGGGCGAACTTGCTTCAAGCAAAGGAAGGAACCCTCCACGCACATGTCACCACGTACACAGGGTCCTTTCACACACCAGCCAAAGATGTGGACATCAGGGATTCATTTATGCTGCAGGACACAGGGTTAGCCCAAGTGACCCCACAACCTCACTCACTCACATGTTATTTTAGTGTGGCAATTCAAGATTTATGCATTTTGTCTAACACACACACACACACACATATTTGCAAGCAATTTGCCCAGTATAATGTATTGCAACATTGTTTTCACCAATATATACATTTTCTCTAAAAGAAGGCCTTTTTTGTTGTGACAGTGAGCTTCCCAAGAGAAGCTTAACCTGGAACACGAGGGCTTTTCTACTTGAAGCATTTATTGCTCTTGTACTCTGAACTCCACTGCATATTGATGCATGATAACACCTTACCCCTTAACAGAGGAACCCTTCTTATGCTTGCCTCCTGTGCTGGTTTTCTGGGCAGTGGCTTCGTGCTATGGACACAAGACATTGACCATCGTTAATCTTCCTTAATTAACAAAACAAGCACAAAAGGCAACCCCTAGGATAGCCATACATCCAGCTATTTCAGTTTAGCAGGCATTCAGAACGTTTCTGATGTAATCATATACAGGAGACTCATGTGACCTGTTGAGAAAGAACCTGAAGAGGAGGAAAGATGACTAGTAAGGTTTCCAGAAATAGACATGAACTCAAAGAAAGAATGGGCCAATCAGAAGTGCTTCTGAACAAGTTGTGAAAATGTCCAGCTTCCTTGAGGGCAAAGCTTGCATGCAACATCCAAGCTTACATCTATCTCCACATCTTACTTTTCTCCAACTTCTGAGCAAGAGGAAGAAATGCCACAAATTGTGACTTAATCATGCATCTGCGAAGGTTCACCTACTAGCTGGCTGCTCAGTCATGGTTGAGCCAGTGCAGCTTGTTATCCTCCTAGTTTAAAGCATGTGGTGTGAAAATGCAGTCCGGCATGCAGAGGAAAGATCCTGTTAGGGACTGCTTACAATGCTTTCTATTTTTACTCAGCAGCGTTGTCTCCTTTCTGTGCCATTACAGAAGTGTCAGACTACTGAGGTCCTATGAGAACAGCAAACAACACAGCTGCTTCTTATGTCATCATATCTCTTAATATCAAGAGCCAACTTGAAATGAGAATATAGCCTATTGCTTGCTTCTCCTATATGACCTTGAGCTTTTGACATTACTGTAGCAGCAGAGAAATCGGACCCAGCATCTCCTCTACCATGGAGATAAATGCTAGATTGCACGTCAAGGGGAATCTGTTATTTCCCACTTTCTCATCTTAGTTGACTATTACAAGCTGAAGCCCAGCTTAGCTATAACATGTTGGTCTGGGCTTTTGTATGCAAAATCCTAACCCAGCAGACTCCAGAATGTCTGACGTTCAGCTCCCGTCTGCCCCAGACAGAATAGCCAGTGGATTATGAGAGCTGTGAGTCCAATCATCTGGGAGACATCAAGTTCAGGAAGGTTGTCATAGAAAAATGCTTTCTTTCTTCTTTTCCTCTTAGAAAATTGGAAGAAGAAATTGGCATATCTTTATAGAAACATAATCCATGTGTACCTCCTCATTTGGAAGTTCTCTTCGCCGCCAAGAAAACCACCACCTGCCACCCTTCTTGGGCATTTTCTCCTTCATTAGTCTGTCAATGGTGCTCTGCAAACATGGAAAAGAGGCAGAAACTCAGTAGAGAATGATGTTCTACCACAAAGGAATTCACCCTGGTACCATGACAAAAAGCACCTACATCTTGGTGAAGAACTGCGATGCATGAGTCATAGAAATGGAGCATATGCCCTAACATTCAGGAGTGGCCCATGCCAAATGATTAAAGAGAAGACAATCCAGCCACCCACAACTTGCACTGATCACAAGAAAGAAAAATGCATCACACAAGGATGTATCTGTACCAAGAATTGCCTATCTGTATGGGAAACCCAACAGAACAAGTTTTACTAGGTTGGATGAGGTATAAGGGTATATTCTGAACCCCTAGAAGGAGCAGCAACCCTACTAGCACTGAACTGTCATCAGTTTGTTATGCAAATTTGCTATGTAAATTATGGGGTGATGCTACCAAAATTTCTGTGTGGTGAGAAGAAGTCATTTAGCTGAAAAGAATGCACCTGCTCTATAGAGTATTTGCCAAAGTTAGGTGTATAGGGCTAACTGGTGGAGACCATCCTTAGATGGAAGAGGTTCTGTTCATAGAATGGAGTTTGTCGCAGGGGCCATTTCTCTAATGAAGAGTTTAGGCCTAGATGTGCTATCAGCCAAGCGTCATTAGATGTGTAGCACACACCATAACATGGTGTCCAAAAATCACAGATTTATAACACATCAATGAAAGAGAGCTACAAAAACAGTCTGCTTGCATACAGAATTGCTATTACAGACCATAGGATTGTACCCTTAGCCCCAATTTTTAACTGGTACAATATTTGCAGTATTTCATGCAGAGATCTTTATGTTAAGCCTCCTTTGAATTTTTAGACCTAAAAGTTCAAATAAGAAATGAACCAAAGTTAAAGAATACAAAATTGCTCTAATTTACCTTGGGGAGGTTCTTTTGGAAAGCTTGTAGGGAGAGGAGCATGGGAGCTGCGACTGCCCAACTATAATATCTGCAAGCACATTAGAAGAGTTGTTATTCTGTATATAGCTTCACATACCTGGGAACAACATCAGGTATAGAAGGGCAATCAAGGCCATGGGATGGAAGGACACAGGGGGTTTCCAAATTCCAAGCCGATAGCAAGCTAGAATTTGGCACACACACAAAGTCTTAAAGTTGGCATTTTGGCAAGTCTCTGCCTTAACATGAAGACAACTACCCAATAATAGCAGCCAGCATTCCAGCAAATGGTAAGCTAAGACAAGCCATGCCATATTTTACTGTTGTCAGCGTTGCTGAACTGAAACTAGAAAGAAGGGATGTGAACTTCAGCCCTTCAAGCATGTCAACCATCTTTGGACTGTACAGGGGGTATTAGTCCAGCCAGATTTACACACACACACACACACACACACACACACACACACACA